TTTAATTAAAGATAGAATTATCCTAAAACCAAATACCAGTTGTTTACAAGTGAGCACTCAACGCTAAACTGGAGTAGAACATGCACTACAAAATGTGGTAATTAGAGAAAATGTGCGCATTTGAAGATTTTTGGTAAAGAAAGAGCACACAAATAATGATGTCTCCTTACTGCAATGGCAGCCCATGCAGTAAACAGCCTTGCCAGCTTTTCCTGTATAGTAACAGGAATGTAAGTGGAGTTCACTATGTCTTCCCTCTTTGTGTAGGAGACAAGGTACAGATAAACCTTCCTAACTCTTGCCTAAGGCCTTTGGCAGATGGTGTTATTCTAATTTAATTGTTGTGGTTTAGGAGGTTATAGACTTTAACTACCTCCTTTTACCCTCTACCTAAGGTTTCTGCTTTTTAGGTAATAGCAACAGAAGTCCATGTGTACTGGCCTCTCAGATACTGCAGTTCATGACCTGACATAAAAACATAAATCACCATCATTTTCAGGTAATTCACAAGGCGGAATATGCACCAGGCTGTGAACTCCAGCATCTGTCAACATGCACGCTCTTACTTTCCTCCATCCTCACTATGGCAGTATCAACCTTTGGAAGCAGAGGCAGGAGCCTCTTCAGCCTTCTGCAGCAGGAAGTGGCAGAGCTCATCTGCTGGAGTCCCCAGCCCAGGGAAGAACTAAGACAGAAACGGTATCTGACAAATAAAACCTTGAGTGCCCTGATCACTGCAAGGGAGAAAAAGGATTCAGATGAACTGTGAGGCAGGTCAGATATCGTTAGTATAGCTTATGAGGTACTGGACATGCCTTGCTAGCGAGTCTAGAGTGACTTAACACAGCACAACACTTGTATTGAGAATGCTGGTTCCTCTAAAAGACAGGGAAAAGGAGAAAGAAATGAGAACATGAATGGTTTACAAAGGCCTTTTCCTTTACAGTAGTCCTGTCCAGTGAAGGTGCTTTTTGGACTTGGGCACGACATTACATATGGGCAGGAAAGATTCTTAGTTACCAAATTTTTAGTTGTGCATTTTATCCTAATGGATTTATAAGACAAATTGTTAAATTTGTGTTTTCACTAGATACCTCCTCAGATGACAACAGTGCTAGAAGGAAAGCCACAAAATTATTAAAATATAATGAGAGTAATGGATATAAAGTTGGGGTTTTTTTAATAAATTTATCCATTTTCATGCCTTCTGTTTTAAAACATAAGCATCATCATCAAGTTAAAATGACAGTCATCCTAGTTTAGACTCCTAGATTTAAATTCGTGTCTGTAGATATCAAGACTTTCAGTAACACAAGTATCATAAAATGTTTATTGAGTGTGATTAAAGGTGAGGATGCTTTACATTTTTGAAAATTGTACAGTACTTTAAGTGACTGGCCTTTTAGTTTTGAAGTGCCTGCTAAAGATATTTCTTTATCACTCGAGGAAGCTTATAAGGGCTACGTCCACAAGATTTCCAGGCATATGTCCCAAATTTATGTTCCTCAGTCCAGAACAGTGATCTCCAAAATTCTCTATCAGTAACTGCACAATCCTGATCCTATCAAAAATTGGTAGGAATCTCATAATTCCCTAGTAAAGTATTTCCAGGTGCCCAGAGGCTGCTGTAGGGAATGCTTTGAAGTGTCTCTACTTTGATCCTTCTGAGAGACTGTGTGGCAAGCATATCAAATCACCACAGAGTCAGAGTATCTAACTGCATGACAGGGTCCTGTGCTATGAAATTTCATTCATGGAACATCCTCAAGTCATAGGAAATAGTGGGATTTTACATATATCCCTCTCAGGTGCCATTGTCATTGTCTTGGGGGGGTGCTTGGTTGGATTTGGAAGGGATTGAATTCTCAGGAACCTTCACATCAGAAACTGAACAAGGAGTCAAGGCAATTAACCGAAGTTGTGGATTCTACAGTGGGGAAAAGTGTATAAGAATTCATCTTGCACAGCCTCAGATAAGCAATTTAGGCCATTTCTTGTTTACTACTTTCATCTAATCAAAAGAGAGAGGAACTCCCTGAGAATGACATGGTGTTCAGGTGGGCTTTGCTCTGAAACACCGCTGTGATTTTTGCAACCCTATCGTGAATAATCCATAAATGCATAAAACTTAAGAACTTCTGAGGAAACAGTGCCCTCAGTCAGACTTCTCCACAAGCTCTTTTAAAAGGAACATAGAAGAACACATGAGACAAAAACCACCTGCTAATTCTCAGGAGCCCAGAGAGAAAGAAAAGTCATAGCAGGCAGCTCATATGGGAGTAATATGCTGCTATATAATACGTAACAAACTACAGAGAGCTCTGTATTATACTTAAAAAAAAATAAATTAAGAACTAAGTAGCATTGTTATTTGATTGAATCTGCTTCATGAAAAAGAATAAAAGGAAACCTTCTCGGGTACTCCCTAAAGATAAGTGGGAAGCAAGAGGATGCATGGGAGAAAATAAAGAAGTGCCAACCTAGTCAATTTTTGAGAATTCAGACACTGTTCTTGGAGGGGATAAGTGTGAAAAGACAATTAGTTACAACAAATGGCTAAGAGACGACAACAACAACAAGACATCAGTTCTATGTTCATGCACCATTTGTGCGTGGTCTTATTCAGAGTTTGGGGGAATTCTGAATTACAGAGGTGTGCCAGAAAGGATTGTAAAGGAGGAATATAGCCTTGTTGTGGAAGGTAAAACAAGGTGTGAAACTGAACTGGGGCGAAAGAAAGACTCCTGATTCCTGCAGGATGGTGAAATATGAGGGATAGCTGTTTTTATACAGTGGGATGGATTCAGAAGATTCACAATGAATTGCAAGACATCCTGAAAAAGAAGTAGAGAACTAGGAACAATTCTGTGGGAACAGAGAATTAGGGTAAAAGTTACATGAGGATGAGAAAGGGTGGCACCAGACTGCTTATTGGCTGGGTGGGAGACACTGAAAAAGTCTCATATGGAGAGAACATCAGTATATGTACCAAGAATTCAGAAAATGAGGAAGTTAAGAATATATTTTATAGCTCTGTATACTCAGATTAGCTCTTCAGATAAATGGTGGTGACTCTGGGATGATGGAAGTTCATGCACAGGTTTCTGTAACACAGAACTAGTGAATTTACTAATCTGCTAAAGTAAGTGAACCAAGAGGAGCACAAAGACTCACATAGAAATGTATCTGATTTGAGAAAGTAGAAAAATAGCCATTTGGAATACAATTCCATTTTTAAGTTTATTCCAGGTCACTGATAAAACTATTCCAGAATTTTGTATTCAAATGCCAGCTCAGAAAATTTTTTAAGCAAAAAAGCAAGTCGACAGTTATCTACTACGCATTTTAAGACAAGTCTAGCAAAGGAAACCCAAGCATTTTGAGTTTGTTTCAGCCGCTAAATGGCAAAAAAATGTAGCTTCATGGAGGGCATAAATTCAGTCATGATCCCCCTCTTTGAACACTTTGTAAACCTTAACTAATTAATCCATTCAAAAGCCCAGCTGGGAAAACAAGTAATATTCTTCTAGTTTTACAAATGAGCGATTGAAGGAAGAGTGACATTACTTTAAATGTCTTGCCCAAACACACAGAGAGTCTGCATGGGGAAGTCTAGTTAGAAGTTAAGCAATGGGTAATTCTTACTGCTGAGCTCAGACTACACTTTTCTGCATTGCCCAAAACTTTAGCAGTGCATTTGGGAGGACAGATGGAGAGTCGAGCTGTAGAGGGGAGGAAAGGTCTTTCACTGCAGATATTAAAAAAAGTACGTACAATAAGGAAACAAAACTAAGGGTAATCGAACCACACACATTCGTATGGATAAGTTATAATTATTATTACTTGTTTACCACTGAAAATGTGCTTTACTGCACATTGTATTATCCAAATGGATTGCAAGTACTGATTATACAAAAAATTAAGTTATTTCTGATTATGCAATGCAATCATTTTGACATGTCCTGATTTCTGTGCAAATACAAAGGAAGCTGCAATTTCACATTACAGTGACATTTGCTTCACAGCTGCATGAATAACATTATTTCTTTCAAGTAACAATTCTTATATAAATAAACCCTTACTGTAACTTGTACTTGCAGCATCATTTCCAGCAGCTCACATTTTCACAATGCTCTGGAAGTCACCATATAAGCTTACAATACTTTATTAGTAGTACTAAATAAAGCACGACATCTCTGCTGAATATACTAGAGTCAGTCTTAAGCTGACAATAGTCCGCATCACTCTATTATTTCAGTGAAAATGTGAGAGTCAGATTCAGTGTGTCATCTGATGGTAAAATGCACTGCAAATATAAATGACAGGAAAAGACAGAAGAGATTCTAATTAGTTGTTAAAACACATGACTAATATCGAACCTAGAAAATGGGCTGTACACGTTGTTGGAGCAACGCTTTATTTTCCTCTCATGCCCTCTGTTCCTGTGAAGTGGAACTATTCCAGCTCAGACACAGACTCGGTGGGGAGAGGTGCAAAAAGTACAGTGCTTCCTCTACTCGCACTGTCTGGTGTGGCACAAGATAGTCCTTTCCCTCTTGGTGCAGTGGGGATTCCCATGGTGGTACAGCACCCTCTCTTTCCACTTTCATTAGGTCTATATTTCAAAATCTTACAAAACTTGATGGTTGAAGAGATGCATATGACAGTAGCAGATGCACAGTATTTTTGGCACATCAAGCAGACTGCAACTTAACACTGTGAAATATATTCAGGCGCTAATCACGAACTTGTGTTGCTGTTAAAGCTGATCTGTGACTGTGATTAATTGGCTTTGTAATTTTGATCAAAACTGATCTGTCTAATTTTCTGGTCCTACTTCAATAAGTCAAACCTCACCCTAAAGTTCCACAAATCCATTTTATTTGGTCTTTGTAAAAGCAGTGAAAGAAAGAAAAGTATGTGGAAGTAATTTCTGAGTTGTCAGTGACAGATTTTTTCTGTTGATTTCATACTTTTGCTGAAGATAGAATAGACCTTACCGTAGCTGTCATAAGCCTCTTCGCTTGTTCCGTGACCATAGTCATAATATTCAGGCACACTGTAACAGATTCAGATAGCCATGTCACTATTATCATACGTAACCAACCCAAAATGAAAACAGAGCATAGAAAATGAAACATATCTTAACGCTTTTACACGATAGCTTAGTCCAGCTAGTTTCAGAGGTAGTGAGAATTTAAAAAATATGAAGGAAAATGTATCAGTGACAATAACAGCTATTATACAGGACATCACATTTCTTATCTACTGAGCATAAAGCAAAATTGGTTCTAAATATGTAAACCTAGGAGATGTGACAAACACTGGCAGAAATTCTATTTGCAAAAATAAGGTCTGAAAAAAGACCATCCACTTTATTATTCACTATTGTTAAACTGCCAGAAGAAGTGTTAATCTCATTTATCTGTAATTCCAAACATTTATGCGGTATCAAACTCAGCACAGTTTGTTTTCCCCAAAGCCAACTGCATTGTATTTGTGTAACCTGTAAAATACTCATCTTTACCAAAACCACTGATAAGTTTTCAGCTTTTCTCCTGAAGAAGAAAAGTCTGTTTCCACTGCTTGTAGAAACATGATTCTCCACAACCTTTGTCCTTATGCAGTTATTGGACACCTATGGAAAGTTTTATACAGTAATTGACAAAATGCATACTGAAAGTAGTGAGGTTGAAGGAGTGGAAAATCAGACTTAGAGTCTCAAATCCACTTTTTCACTGCTTTCTGTTCATTCAATAAAATTATGTATGGTCATATTAATATGTTATCAAAAGACTTCAGATCATAGTTACACCCCGACAATCAGCAATCCCCAGCTAGTACCTGGAGTGGACAACCAGAAAATCTGACCTCTAAGACATAATGAAATGGAATTTTTCACACTTTTTCTTGACTGCTATTATTATTTACAGTTTGTACTGTGTATTTGGTACCTGGCACCAAATTCAACATCAGACTATTGGTGTTACCAGGTACCAGGTAGCCATAACAAGAATCAGTCTCTGCCCAGAAAAACTTACAAACTCCACCAATTCTACTATATTGTATTTCTTCAGTCTGTAGTGAACCAAACAGAAAATGTAACACTTTCTCTGTTGTTAATTTTTTGGTATTATCACTTTTGCTTCTTTTTCCTTGGACACTGTGTGAGATGGACTCTTGCAAAATGAACAGAAGCAGGCAATCAGCTCGATATTGCACTATTTATAACATTATTGCTCAGGCAATTTTCCATATTAGATTACCATCTTAAAAATATTAGTTTACACTTGAAAGAGAAGCTTAGTTGACAGTAGAGTGTACATAAAAATATTTCACAAATGCAACAGAGATAAACAAGCAATCTGTAACAATTACTTTCTTAAAATAATTTTGACTTCTTTGTTCACAAACGCCTGTAATCAGATTTTTAATTTTTCAAACTTAATAGCTATTCATAACTATTCTTGGAATAATTTCTGAGAATAATTCATGTGCTGTATCTCACTTGAGTGCACTGATTGCATGTATCTGATAACTGACAGTCAAGTTGTTTTGATTTGGGACACTTGTTAGGCACAGCTCTCATAGTCAGTTTTCAGCTACAAATATCTGTGGGAGTTTTTTGAACTGAAAATGTGGCTATAATTGCTGTGCATTAATTTGGCAATTTAGCCAGAAGTCATTCATGTGAGTGGATAGTACACTGATGTCAATATCTCAGACAGATGAAATTCATTTGCTAAAGCAGTTTCAGAAAGTGGACACACAAGCGATGTGAATGAAAATGAAGTTAATACTTTTACATATTTTTTCCAGTGCCATCCAAGTTCTATAGGACATAATCACTGCAGAGCGTTACCCTCCAGGATAACGGGAGCTATTCAGTCGCTTGAAAATTAATTATCTAAACATATACACCCTCCTATCGAATTGGTGCAAGAAACAAACAGGAAGAATACATCTTTTATTTGTTGGACATACTAAGCATTCTGTACCATTTTGCAATGATTCTAGTAGCCAGCTAAATAAAATTACAGGATTATGCAAGGTGAACTACAGAACTGGCAACGTCAAGGTTAAATCATGTATATAGTCATATCTACAGAGCTCGTGGTTTAGACCTAAGAAATTACTTGAAACGTAGAGAACAGACAGATGACATACCACTCAGATCTGGCAGACAGCAGTATGAAAGAATCTCATGTAATACAATTTAAGCGGCAGCATTTTGGCATACTGCCTGCTTTTCTGGGTGGAGGAGGGTGTTGGACCAGTGAGTGGAGTAACAGGAGAAGAAACCCCACAACTCTCATCTTCTGTCAGCGGTAAGATGCTAATAAACCTTCCTGATACATTTTACAAAACCAAGGGGCTGCATTCAAAGGTCAGCTTTAAAAGGAGTTCATTTGGGACCCAGTCCAAAGGCTAATAAGTTACCAACAGCAGTCCTGTTTCAGCGGTCACTGAGTAGGGCCTTGAGCTATTCCCATCAATATAACATCCAGTGAAATGCAAGAGTTGCAAGAGCAGGTAAAAATTCATCGCTACGTTATTGTTGTTGCACGTTTTTATTAGAGAAAAACCACACAATCATACAGACAATAAGGATGTGAGATAAAAATCCTGCACAGTGAATATTCGGAACTGAAATACATTATAAACAGAATATAAAGTTAATACACAAACTGTTAAAATAAGAAACAAGCTGTATTGCAACTGCAGAAAGGAAGTGATTTGGTATATACTGCATATTCGATGTCTGTGAGCACAATACTTAACACATTTCTGAAAACGCATAATTCATAGCACAACGCATGATTGTGATCTAAGTTCTCCAACTTTATTTCCCTGAACAATATACATTTTTCATAGATTTGAGCCAAATTGGTATTTCAAATTCCTTGCTATCTCATATTAGATAATGTTTTGAACAGTACCTAAGTGAAGGAAATTTATTTCTTAGTGTGAAACACCTGATTTAAACTCATATTTTGTGAGCCCAACTGCTTATCCATTGGTCTGCTCTATTTTAAACCTTTCTGAATATTCACTACAATCTATTACATGCATTTATTTGTAAATGTTTTCCTTTGTTTTTTTATTAAAGTGAATAATGAATGATATTTATAAAAATGGGTGATAAAATATGGCTTTACATACATAAGATCGTTTTTTAATTACTGAACTACAGAGAGATGTAGTTCTTTAGCATTATGCCCAACTGTGGAAGGAAACAATCAGCAAATGCATTTAGCATAAGTAAAACTTGTTTATATAATTTTAAAGTTCTCAGACTGTTCCTGGAAAATTTGGTGATCATAAGCTCTAGAAACCTCAGGCTCTCTTGGCGGTGCTAATTGGAAACAAGACACCATTATCTGTCATTAGCATTCATTACTTTCAAGCAACATGAAGTGTAATTTACTTAAGTACATGCACCCACCTGAAAGCAGGATGCAATACATTTTATAAAGCAGATAAGATTAGCTCATTTACAACTTTTCCGTTTTCACTCCTAAATTTTCAAAGCATGGCACTATAACACCAGACTTCTGAAACACAGAGGCCTTGATGTGCCGTGACTTAGGCTTAAGTAACCTTCTACACATACCACTTGTGGAACAATTGGTATACATGGGACTATGAATCTTATGTGTAGTTTAATTATTTTTATATCTCAAATGGCTCGCAATCTGAGAACCTCTGATGTAATTTTTCTCTGTCTAGATGACATTTTTGCAACAGAGATGTATGATTCCTCATTCCTATTCTGTGGGCAAGAAGATTAATAATATGTATATTGCTAATCTTCATAACCTATTTATGCTTCTTTTAACATAACTGCTGGTTTTGGTTAGTGCTTTTGAACCTGTTACTTTTAAGGATTTGGGATCAAATTTTCCATAAACTTGTGATGTCTTCTTTTCATGCAGATAAAGCCAAATCTGTTCCAAAAAAAAGAACACAAAAGATGTTCCTTATTTGAGAGTTAAGGGCCCCCTGAGCTGCCTTCCAACCTGAATTATCTGGTGCTCCTATGATATAAGGAGCGCTCACAAGCAGAGGCTCTGTATCTAAACAGCAGTCTTAAAAGCCAACAGAGGTTTTTAACCTCTCGTTAACTGGGACTTTTTCAGATTGACATTAGCTAAGCAAAATCAAATTCCAGTTTGACTGTGTCAACACCCATGGGAAACCACACAGTTTGTTATCCAAAAGGCTGCTGAGAATGGTGCTTTAAGGTGGTTTAAGCAAAGAAGAGCAAACAAAAGAGTTAAGATTGAAGCCACAAAACCCTGACTTTTGGGTCAATAAGCCACCTTGGGGAAGGGTGATGTTCACCACTCAGAGATCAATGGCGTTACGTACAGGAAATCACAATATTAATGAATAGGCTGCATTAGCCTTTGACCAACCTCTTCCTGCACCTGCAGGAAGCTGCTGACAAGAGACCCAGCACTAGCACCGTTACCATCTGGCTCCCTGGCTGCTCTTACAGCTTCTGTAATGTAAGGCAGCAGAGCATTGCAAAAACTGAAGAACTTGAGTACTTCTTGTTCCCTCATTGTTGTGGGTTTGGGTTTTTTTGTTTGTTTTGTTCTTCCTTCCTCTCTTTCTGTTCTTTGCTTTTTCTTGCTGAGAGATGCATCTGACTTTTTATTCCCTAATTGTGGAGCACAAAATGCGGTTGCAGCTATACAATGGGCACACTAACAGCCAAAGCTGAAAGGTACAAGAAAGAGTTCATCTGCTTTAAACACTGCTAACATGTGGTTCCATGCAGACTACTTTCTGTAGTCTATCCTGAAAGATCCTAAGAAACTGAAAGCCTTTGATTAAGAGCTAGAACTTTAACGGATTTTTTTTCCTGTAAAGACATTATTTTATCTTATTTTTCTTTCTTTATGGTTGTACTTTTTAACTGGGAGAGTATATTCTAGAATATTATAAAAATCTTTTATTAGGAAATGTCTGGGAAAGAGCTAGTCAATTTAGAAAAGAGGCTTTTGATCAACCTTGGTTATAACTCAGCCATTACATAATAATTAGGCTTCT